CGTTAAACACTTAAAACTGTCCTCGACCCACTGCCCCACCTCCATCTACTTACTTACCTATCTATACTCGACCTACTGCCCGACCTCCCTCAGCTTTCCTATACTTGCCCCTCTACGCCACCTCCCTATCTCCCCTACTTTCACGTCCTCGAACCACCGCTTTATCTCCCTCAACCTCTCTCTTTTCAACCTACTGTCCTATCTCCCTCAACCTACCTATCCTCGGACCCACTGCCCTATCTGCCACAACTTACCTATCTTTGACCTACGGTGCCATACTATTCGATACCTGATCTAACGGCGCTTTATTCACGACCCGATCGCCACACTGAACTTTACTATCTTGCGACCAACTGCCATGGGTTATACTGGTCGTGTATGCCAATGAGATGATTCAATCGTACGTCGACAAAACATGATTGACAGCATCCGTATATGTAGGCTGGAATCTCAAATATTAAACAATAACCTTTTTAAGCCACTCATTATGGTTATTGATTACCAATTGAGATTCCAGCCTACATTTACGAATGCCGTCAATCATGTTTTGTCGACGTACGTTTGAATCATCTCATTGGCATACTCGACCAGTATACCACATGGGAGTTGGTTGCAAGATGGTGGAGTTCTTTTTGACGATCTAGTCGTGATTGTAGCGCCGTTAGGTGTTGGGCTGAGTGGTATAGCGTCGTAGGTCGAAGGGAAGTAACTTGATGGAGATCGGAAAGTGGGTCGAGGGTGGGAAATTTGAGGCAGATAGTCCAGTGGATAGAGGAAAGAAAAGTTGAGAGAGATATGGCGAGGATAAAGAGGTCGAAGGGATAGGAAGTTTGGGCAAAATAGGACAGTGGATCGAGGATTGGACGGTTGTGGGAAATAGGGCAGTAACTTCACTGGCTCTGAAGTCAAAACCCGAGGTCGGCAAACTTTTGTCGTTTGCTTGCCAAAAGTACTCCGTTAAACACTTAAAACTGTCCTCGACCCACTGCCCGACCTCCCTCAACTTTCCTATCCTCGACCCTCTGCTCTTTCTCCCCAACTTTCACATTCTCGAACCACCGCTTCATCTCCCTCAACCTCTTTCTTTTCGACTTACTGTCCTATCTCCCTCAACCTACCTATCCTTGGACCCACTGCCTTATCTGCCACAACTTACCTATCTTTGACCTACGGTGCCATACTATTCGATACCTGAACTAACGGCGCTTTATTCACAACCCGATCGCCACACTGAACTTTACTATCTTGCGACCAACTTCCATGGCTTATACTGGTCGTGTATGCCAATGAGATGATTCAATCGTACGTCGACAAAACATGATCGACAGCATTCGTATATGTAGGCTGGAATCTCAATTATTAAACAATAACCTTTTTAAGCCACTCATTATGGTTATTGATTACCAATTGAGATTCCAGCCTACATTTACGAATGCCGTCAATCATGTTTTGTCGACGTACGTTTGAAGCATCTCATTGGCATACTCGACCAGTATAACACATGGAAGTTGGTTGCAAGATGGTGGAGTTCTTTTTGACGATCTAGTCGTGATTGTAGCGCCATTAGGTTAGGGGCTGAGTGGTATAGCGTCGTAGGTCGAAGGTAAGTAACTTGATGGTGATCGGAAAGTGGGTCGAGGGTGGGAAATTTGAGGAAAGGGCAGTGGGTGGCGGATTTGTGATGGGATGACTGTTTAACTTCACTGGCTCTGACGTGGCCAAAATTACTCCGTTAAAGAAAGAACACTTAAAACCGTCGTCGACCAACTTGCCCTACCTCCATCTACTTACTTACCTATCTATACTCGACCTACTGCCCGACCTCCTTCAACTTTCCTATCCTCAACCGACTGCCCTAGCTCCCTCAAACATCCTATCCTCGGCCCACTACGCCACCTACCTATCCTCGACCCACTGCTCTATCTCCACAACTTTCACATCCTCGAAGTACCGCTTCATCTCCCTCAACCTCTTTCTTTTCGACCTACTGTCCTATCTCCCTCAACCTACCTATCCTTGGACCCACTGCCTTATCTGCCACAACTTACCTATCTTTGACCTACGGTGCCATACTATTCGATACCTGACCTAACGGCGCTTTATTCACGACTTGATCGCCACACTGAACTTTACTATCTTGCGACCAACTTCCATGGGTTATACTGGTCGTGTATGCCAATGAGATGATTCAATCGTACGTCGACAAAACATGATTGACAGCATTCGTATATGTAGGCTGGAATCTCAAATATTAAACAATAACCTTAATTGGCAGTTTAAAAATGTTTTACTAATTGGCTACTGATGGTTTTTTGTTGGGAATAACAGATTTAAATTTTAACAGGCGTTTTATGCCCTTAATAATTGGCCATGTCGTCAGTCTCGTGACAAATATGATGCTGATCCGAAATAAGCAATAGTGTTCTGGTCCGTATAAAGTATTTCTTCAACATTTTATAGTAAAAGCGATGCCAAAGATTACGTACTAACTGCGTCCTTTGCAACTTCATTAAGTTGCAGATAAGATAAGCTCAATTTTGGGACTATGCGCTGAATTAAAGGGAGTTGGCAACGCTAGCTACGACAAAACATTTCATGGCTCTAAAATAGTTTGGAAGGGATTACACTCACTGAGCGACTTATATTTTTGACTGTTTTTGACTTTTCAGCTCTCAGTCACGTAAAAGAAATTTGTATATACAACAGAATATGGCAGAACATTCGTTGAAAATGACTAAGCGTGCAAATATTTTATTATTTCCTCATCGTTTTGCCTTGAACGGAAATACAAGCGAGATTGAATGAGTTTCGGAAAATGAACTCAGGTATGTCGATATCGAATGGCATTTCAAAATTTTAAAAACAATCACCTCAAACCCGACGCCATCAGTAGCTTATGTAGTAGCACATTTTTAAGCCACTCATTATGGTTATTGATTACCAATTGAGATTCCAGCCTACATTTACGAATGCCGTCAATCATGTTTTGTCGACGTACGATTGAATCATCTCATTGGCATACTCGACCAGTATAACACATGGAGGTTGGTCGCAAGATAGTAGAGTTCGTTTTGACGATCTAGTCGTGATTGTAGCGCCGTTAGGTTAGGGTCTGAGTGGTGTAGCGTCGTAGGTCGACAATAAGTAACTTGATGGAGATCAGAAAGTGGGTCGAGGGTAGGAAATTTGAGGCAGATAGTGCAGTGGATAGAGGAAAGAAAAGTTGAGGGAAATATGGCAATGATTCGAGGAAAGAGGTTGAAGGGTATAGGAAGTTTGGGGGAAATAGGACAGTGGATCGAGGATAGGACGGTTGAAGGAGATAGGGCGGGAGGTTGAGGGAGAAAGGGCAGCACCTCACTGGCTCTGAAGTCTAAACCCGAGGTCGGAAAACTTTTGTCGTTTGCGTGCCAAAAGTACTCCATGACACACACTGCCCGACCTCCCTCAACTTTCCTATCCTCGACCCTCTGCTCTTTCTCCCCAACTTTCACATTCTCGAACCACCGCTTTATCTCCCTCAACCTCTCTCCTTTCTGTCCTATCTCCCTCAACCTAGCTATCCTCAGACCCACTCCCCTATCTGCCACAACTTACTTTGACCTACGGTGCTATACTATTCGGTACCTGACCTAACGGCGCTTTATTCACGACCCGATCGCCACACTGAACTTTACTATCTTGTGACCAACTTCCATGGGTTATACTGGTCGTGTATGCCAATGAGATGATTCAATCGTACTTCGACAAAACATGATTGACAGCATTCGTATATGTAGGCTGGAATTTCAAATATTAAACAATAACCTTTATTGGCAGTTTAAAAATGTTTTACTAATTGGGCTACTGATTGTTTTTTTTTTGTTGGGAATAACAGTTTTCTAAATTTTAACAGGCCGTTTTATGCCCTCAATAATTGGCCATGTCGTGAGTCTTGTGACAGATATGATGCTGATCCGAAATAAGCAATAGTGCTCTGGTCGGTATAAAGTATTTTTTTTCAACATTTTATAGTAAAAGCGATGCCAAAGATAACGTACTAACTGCGTCCTTTGCAACTTCATTAAGTTGCAGATAAGCTCAATTTTGGGACTATATGCTGAATTAAAGGGCAGTTGGTAACGCTAGCTACGACAAAACATTTCATGGCTCTAAAATAGTTTGGAAGGGATTACACTCACTGAGCGACTTGTATTTTTGACTGTTTTTGACTTTTCAGCCTTCTCAGTCACGTAAAAGAAATTTGTATATACGACAGAATATGGCAGAACATTCGTTGAAAATGACTAAGCGTGCAAATATTTTATTATTTCCTCATCGTTTTGTCTTGAACGGAAATACAAGCGACATTGAATGAGTTTCTGAAAATGAACTCAGGCATGTCGATATCGAATGACCTTTCGAAATTTTAAAAATAGTCACCTCAAACCCGAGGCCACCAGTAGCTTAATTAGTAGCACATTTTTAAGCCACTCATTATGGTTATTGATTACCAATTGAGATTCCAGCCTACATTTACGAATGCCGTCAATCATGTTTTGTCGACGTACGATTGAATCATCTCATTGGCATACTCGACCAGTATAACACATGGAGGTTGGTCGCAAGATAGTAGAGTTCTTTCTGACGATCTAGTCGTGATTGTAGCGCCGTTAGTTTAGGGGCTGAGTGGTGTAGCGTCGTGGGTCGAAGGTAAGCAAGTTGATGGAGGTCCGACAGTGGGTCGAGGGTGAGAAGTATGAGGCAGATAGTGCAGTGATTGAAGGAAAGAAAAGTTGAAGGAAATATGGCAATGAGTCGAGGATAAAGAGGTTGAAGGGGATGGGAAATA